CGGGTAGTCGCGCACGTCGAGCACGCCGCTCGCGATCAGCTGCTTGGCCTCGAACAGCTCCGGCGAGGTCAGCCGCTTCGCGGGCCTAAAAAAAGAAAGTCGGGCCGCCGCGCTCACTCCGAGAGAGGTGTGAAGGCGAGGTCAGCCGCGTGGCGGGCCGGTGCGGCTCGTCGCGCTTGCTCACCGCCGACAGCCGCTTCCGCTCCTCGGCGCGCACCTACACGTGCACACACATCGCGCTCCCTCTGTCTCTGTCTCCGTCTCTGTCTCTGTCTCCTCCCTCCCTCCCTCCCTCCCTCCCTCCCTCCCTCCCTCTCTCTCTCTCTCTCTCTCTCTCTCTCTCTCTCTCTCTCTCTCTCTCTCTCTCTCTCTCTCTCTCGTCTCTCTCTCTCGTTCTCTCTCTCTCTCTCTCTCTCTCTCTCTCTCTCTCTCTCTCTCTCTCTCTCTCTCTCTCTCTCCCTCCCTCTCTCTCTCTCTCCTCGCACCGGGTCGTCTGGCGGCCGCATCGGGTTGGAGCGCGACGGGCCCGCCCCGCCAGGCACGCGCATCGCCGGCGTGAGGTCGGCGCCTGCACGGGGTTCGTCAATTGAAGGAAGTGTCTAGGAAGTGTCTGGGAGGTGTCTAGGAAGTGTCGAGGAGGTGTCTAGGAGATGTCTAGGATGTGTCTAGGAGGTGTCTAGGACGTGTCTAGGACGTGTCTAGGAGGTGTCTAGGAGGTGTCTAGGAGGTGTCTAGGAGGTGTCTGGGAGGTGTCTGGGAGGTGTCTGGGAGGTGTCTAGGAAGTGTCGAGGAGATGTCTAGGAGATGTCTAGGATGTGTCTAGGAGGTGTCTAGGACGTGTCTAGGACGTGTCTAGGAGGTGTCTAGGAGGTGTCTAGGAGGTGTCTAGGAGGTGTCTGGGAGGTGTCTGGGAGGTGTCTGGGAGGTGTCTAGGAAGTGTCGAGGAGATGTCTAGGAGATGTCTAGGATGTGTCTAGGAGGTGTCTAGGACGTGTCTAGGAGGTGTCTAGGAGGTGTCTGGGAGGTGTCTGGGAAGCGTCTGGTCGGCGCCCGTCTGCTGGTCGGCGTCCCGCAAGGAGAGGGACATCTTGGAGCCGGTGGTGGAGAGGACCTTGACGAAGCAGGGCTGCCCGCGCTTCAGCGCGTCGTGCGGCGAGCGCAGCGGCTGCGACTGGATCAGCGACACGTGCACGAGGCCCTCGGCCTTGCCGCGCACGCCGCTCAGCTGCACAAACGCGCCAAAGTCCATCACGTTTGTGACGCGGCCGGCGTACACCTTGCCCGGCTCGGCCGCCGCGTCGGCGTCGCGCGAAAAGTCGCGCGCCAGCGCCGCGCCGCTGCTGCCGCCCCCGCCCCCGCTGCTGCTGCCCGCGCCGCCGCCGCCGCGCCCGCCCGGCGGCGGCGGCGGAGGCGGAGGCCGCCGATCGGCGGGGCGGCCGCCGATGGCGGGGTCGACCGCCGCGCGCGCGCCGAGGGCCTCCTCCTCCAGCTTCCGCAGCCGCTCCGGGTCCGCGTTCGGGATCGCCAGCCCGGAGAAGCGCTCGGTCGGCCCGGACGAGGACGACGCGGCGGCGCTGGCCGCGGGCGCCGACGGCGCGGGGCGCTTGCGCGGCGCCATGGTCTGCACGAGGTGGAGGAGCGTCGACGCAAAGTCCTCCGGGAACTCGGCGCCGTTCTCGTCGAGCGCCCGCATGAAGGCGGGCAGCGTCGAGTTCTCCTGCGCCAGCTCGATGATGAACTCGGCGAGCGTCTTGTCGTCGACGCCGATGTGGTTCTTGAGCTCGGAGCAGATCTTCTGGACCAGCGAGAGGCGCTGCAGCCCGAGGAGGGCGTCCATCGTTGAACCGCGGCCTCGCGGCGCCAGCGAGGAGGGCGAGGAGCGGGCGGCGAGACGGACCTGTCGAGGCGAAGAAAAGAAAACCGCGTGTAATCGGATAGAGAAAGCAAGGCGCGAGACACAATCCATCCTTCCTAACTGACTAAACGAATCATTGAACGCACGAAACGAGTCTGAGTTCGCCGAGAACCAACAAACAAGCAAGGCGTTGGACCCATCCTTCCTAAACTAACTCACTACCCTCTAAACAGCCATTGAACATATAGTGTGTATAGATGCAACAAACACAAACAGCTGCAAATCCTCATGTCAATCACATATAGTGCATTGTGCGCACGCCGCGATCCATCCACGCGTACTGACAGCCCTCGCTTGAGGAGGGTGCGTGGAAGCACAACTCAACACTTGCCGTCGCCAGGGAGGCAAAGGCCAGGGGCAGACATGCATGACGCCCGGCCCGCTGACCCTCGCCTCCACCTGAGGGCCGCCCCTTTCGCCGCCGTGAGGACCTCGCTCTGCCTCAGTCTGGCCGTGAGGACCTCTGGCCGTGAGGACCTGCTTGTGGTCGTGAGGACCTCTTGGCGGGTGTGAGTTTCTTTTCATCCATGGAGCAGTTGCCTGCTGGCCGTCGGGGCGCGAGGGCCTGTCGAGGCGGAAGAAAAGCAAAAATCCGTGGATTGCGTTCAAACCCTCATGTCAATACACCGATGCAATACAGTGCATTGTGCCCACGCCAAGATCCACACGTACTGACCCTCGTGCCTCGAGGACGGCGTGCAACTCAATACTGACTGCCGTCGCCAGGTAGCAGAGGCAAGGGGTAGACATGCACGACGCCACGCGGCCCGGCGCTGTCCCTCGCCTCCTCTGAGGGCCGCCCCTCTCGCCGCCGTGAGGACCTCGCTCTGGCCGTGAGGACCTCTGGCCGTGAGGACCTCTGGCCGTGAGGACCTCTGGCCTGTGAGCCTTGCGAGCCTTTCGAAAAGGCCTTGCATATCAGGTGTATATCGCAGGCTGCGTGCGGTGAAGTTGTGGACAGTAGGCTTTCAGGCTCTGTGGCAATTGCAGGGGCTGGAGAGCATATGCAGGCCGTGCAACCTTTTTCTGTGTGTATGTTGAAGTTCTCATCCCAATGGTGGAAAGTAGAATATTGGGAAGCAGATGATGCTTGATGGGGCCGTGGGTGCGTCTCTCGTCTCTGCTGTTGATGGGCTCTGTTCTCTCCATCTTGCGTGCGCGCGCGCTGTCAGTCTTTTCCGGTCGATGCTCCCGTGGACCGGCAGCCAGTTTCTTGCTTGCGTAAAAAAGAAAGAAAACACGCAACCCAAGGGAGGGATGGGAGGACGGCACGCCGCCACCACACAGGGATTTTAAGGAGAGGTGTGTGATGCGCTAGCCGTCGCCCACCCTAGGGAGTCTGCCTCTTCCTATCTCTCTTCGCAGTCTCTCGCCGCTTCTCGCTGCAACCTTCATGCCACCTCGCGGTCGTCCCACTCTCGTCGTTCTCTCCCTTGTCATTTCCTCCTCTGTCGCGTCGTTCTCTTCTGCCTCGTCCTGCGACGCCGCCGCCTGCCGGTCCCTTGTTCTCGCGGCTTCTTTCGCCTTTCGGCGCAACTCCGTCCTCCTCGCGGCGTATCCTGGCCCCTCGAGTCTATCGAGCTCCCCTCGCGCAAGGACCACATTTCTGACTCCCACTCCGATCATTTGCCTCCAGGTCATGTTGTTGCCCAGGTCCACTCTCTCTTCGAACACTCGTGCCTCTACGGATGATGCCGGCGCTTGCTTGCGTTGCATCGCTGATCGACGGTCAAAGAATTCTTAAAGGCCACGGCTCTCCCACTGACCGCATCACTGGTGGGTCTGTTCTTCACCTTCATCGAGAGTCTCTGTGACACTGTCTCTTGGCAACGTAAAAATTCTTTTTACTTAGGGAGTTCTTTTTTCCGAGCGGTTTTCGAGCTCAAAGCGGCCGGATCGGTTGTAATGGACCCGTCGGAGGCCTTCCATCGGTGGCGGCACTCGGACCTTCTCTCCGACGTCGACGCCTCGACGCACTGGCTGCCGCTCCAGTGCTGTGCCGCTCTCGTTTCGCTCGCACTCACGCACTCCTTCCTCGCGCTCCGCCACGAGCGGAGGCGAAAGCAGCTCGCATTCTCAGAGCACCTCGCTCGGCGCGCGCTTGACGCCGCGGCGCGGGACAAGGCGGAGTGCCTCACAGCCGCGGCCGCGCGCGCCGCGTGCGACCGGACGGAGGCGGCCGAGCTCGCCGCCGCCGACCGAGCAGCGGCGGCGGCGGCGTTGGCGACGGCGGTGGCGGCGGCGGCGGAGGAGTCGCGAGCCTCGGCGGCGCGGGAGGCCGCGTTGGTGGCTGCCCTGCGGGCAGCCGAGGCGGCGGCGGCGGAGGAGGGCCAGGTTGCGTCCGAGAAGGCGGCGGCGCTCGAGGCGCGGTGCGCAGCAGCGGAGCAGGCGATCTCGCACGCGGCGGCCGAGCAGGAGAGGCTGCAGGGAACCCTTCAGGCGGCGGCGGAGGCGGCGGCGGCGGCGGAGCGGGCGGCGGCGGGGAGGCGGGAGGTCCTCGAGGCGCGATGCGCCGCAGCGGAGCAGGCGGCGGAGACGGCGGCGGCTGACGCCGCCGCCGCCGTGCGCAGCGCCGACGAGGCGGCGGCGGCGGCGGCGGCGGCGGCGGAGCACCGCGTGGCGAAGAGTGAGGCTGCGGTCTCCGCGGTCGCGGCAGGCGCCGCCGCCGAGGTGGTGGGCTTGATGGAGGAGGCGGCGGCGAACGAGGCTGCACGTGGAGAGTCGGTGCGAGCGGCGGTCGCTGCCGCTGCCGCTGCGGCCGTCGAGGCGGAGCAGCTGCTGTCTACCTGCGCAGGTGCAGCGTCGGCACTCTCTCGGCGGTCTCTCGGCGCTCTCTCGGCTCTCTCGGCGGTCTCTCGTCTCGTCTCGTCTCTCTCTCTCTCTCTCTCTCTCTCTCTCTCTCTCTCTCTCTCTCTCTCTCTCTCTCTCTCTCTCTCTCTCTCTCTCTCTCTCTCTCTCTCTCTCTCTCTCTCTCTCTCTCTCTCTCTCTCTCTCTCTCTCTCTCTCCCCCCCCCCCCCCCTCTCTCTCTCTCTCTCTCGGCTGTCGTTTGTCGTACCTCGGCTGTATTTTGGCTGCATCTCGGCTGTATCTCGGGTGTATCTCAGCTGTCTCTCAGCTGTCTCTCCGGCTGCGTAGCCGCGTCGATTCCCGCGCCGGGCGCCGCGGCGGCGGGCAAGGAGGCGGATCGGGAGGCCGGTTGGGCGCTGGCGGCGAGGGAGCGGGCGGGAGAGGCGCTGATGAGCGCTCTGGAGGCGGCGGCGGAGGAGGCGGGCGAGGCGGTGCGGGAGGTAGGTCTGTCTGGCCGCACGAGACGTGAGCATGTGTCGTATTCGCCGCCGCTTAGGCCGGCAAGGCGATGCGGGCTGCGGACCGCGTCGCTGCGGCAAAGGCGGCGGCGGGAGGCGGCGCCCCGCCCTCTCTAGATAGAAGCGGAATACGCGGTTCGTGTACCCCAACCAGCGCTCGAGAGGGCACGTACTCCGCTGTATTCCGCTGTACTCCGCTGTATTCCGCTGCATTCCGCTGTATTCACTGTCCTCCTCTCTGTTGTCTTCACGCGGTGCTCATGTACCCCCATCGATGCCGCCACCGAGCCCGCCGCCGCCCTCCCCGCTCCCTGCGTCGCCTCCGCCCCCGTCCCCACCCCCGCCCTCGCCGCCGCCGCCCTCCCCATCGCCGCCCTCCCCACCGCCGCCCTTCCCACCGCCGCAATACCCACCTCCGCCCTCGCCGCTGCCGCCCTCCCCACCGCTCTGAAGACGCTGCACAATCGCCCGTCTTCTCCCCCTCATGTCGGCGTATCCACAACGCAGGTCCGCAGCACCGTGCGGCCGACCCAGACACGGATGGCGCCGCGATCCGCGAGGCGGGGATCGACGCGGCGCTGGTGCTGCTGGATTCACAGGCGGACCAGTAGTTAATCAATCAATTCATTAGTTCGTTGATTGTGGTGCTGCTGGACTCACAGGCGGACCAGTAGTTAATTGATCAATTAATTAGTTCGTTGATTGTGGTGCTGCTGGACTCACAGGCGGACCAGTAGTTAATCAATCAATTAATTAGTTCGTTGATTGTGGTGCTGCTGGACTCACAGGCGGACCAGTAGTTAATTGATCAATTAATTAGTTCGTTGATTGTGGTGCTGCTGGACTCACAGGCGGACCAGTAGTTAATCAATCAGTTAATTAGTTCGTTGATTGTGGTGCTGCTACACACACAGGCGGACCCGGGCGTGCGCGATGCCGCGGCGCGTGTGGCTGCGCACCTGAAGCGGCTCGAGACTTGCCGAGACTCGCCGAGATCTAGCCGAGATCTAGCCGAGAAATCAGCACTCTGGAGGCGCTGTGATGAGCGGTGTGCATGGTTTTCCCGCCCAGCCGGACTTGTTGTTCCGTATACGCCGCAGGCTCGAGAAGCGCGCCGGCGACTGCGCCGGGCGGGCGGGCGGCGCTGCGGCGGCCACGGAGGCGGATCGGGAGGTGGGGTGGGCGCTGGCGGCGAGGGAGCGGGCGGGAGAGGCGCTGATGTGTGCCCTGGAGGCGGCGGCGGAGGAGGCGGACAAGGCGATGCGGGCAGCTGACCGCGTCGCCTCCAACCGGGCCAAGGCGGCGGCCGTTGCCGCCGTCGCGGCGGCGGGCTGCGCTCTCCGCACCGCGCAGGCTGCGGCCGAGCGGAGCGTCGCCCGGCTGTCCGAGGCGGACGAGGCGGCGGCGGAGGAGGGGGAGGCGATGCGTGCTGCTCGCGGCCGCATCGCCGCCTCCCCGGCCGTCGCAGTCGTGAGAGGGCTGGGGGCGAGGCTGGCCGCGGTCGTCAGGGGGGAGGAGGAGATCAGCCGAGATCAGCCGAGATCAGCCGAGGCGGCGGTCGGCGACGAGAAGGCCCCTAGAAGCGGACTGCGCGACGACGGCGGCAACCTTGTCGCACCGCCTGCCTCCGACGGCAAGGACGCGCGCCGTGCCCTTCTTGGGCCTCGACGACAAGAGGGTGGGGGAGACGGGGGAGGGCGACACGCCGCGCCACGCAGCTGAGGACGACACGCACGCCTCGCTGTCCGAAAAGGGCAACCTCCGGCCCGGCCGGCCGCTCGTCGTCCTCCTCCTCCTCGTCCCCCGGCCCTCCTCTGCGTCGTTCTCGCCGTCGTCCTTGGGCGAGGTTTGAGCGTTTTGCCGCGTCGATTTTGCGGGAGACCGCCCCATCCGAGCGACGCACACGGGCCGGGGTCAAGGACGGGTGGCGCCGGGGGGCAAGGGCGCCCGGTCCATGTCCATGTACAGCATGCCCGCACACCACGCCCACCATGCCGCATGCTCGGGACGTCTCTTCGTGAGTGTTGGAGTGCTGCATGCGCCTCTCTCTCTCTCTCTCTCTCTCTCTCTCTCTCTCTCTCTCTCTCTCTCTCTCTCTCTCTCTCTCTCTCTCTCTCTCTCTCTCTCTCTCTCTCTCTCTCTGCCGCTCTGCCGCTCTCGCAGAGGACTGGAGTTCGGAGTTACGTTTCATTGGTAAGGTACACGTCACTCGCCAGTCGCAAGGTAATTTCTCCACACACACACAATACTTTTGTGTGGTGCTGGTGCGTGGTGGGGCAATGGGGGGCGACCCGCGGCCAGCGGCATTCAAAGTGCAAAAGGCCCGGTGCATGTGTGTCGACACAATGCTCAATGGGCTGCCCGCCGCGCCTGACTATCGCCTCCTGACGGTGGGATGGAGCGGGGAGCTACTCAGACGCGGAGGCTGGCGGCGCCGTCCCCGTCCGCCGCAGCCTGCGACCCTCGTTGCATGTGGGCGAGCTTGGCGAGCTTGGCCGCGAAAGCTTCAAAGAAGTTTCGAGCAAACTCGCCGTCGAGGGGCACACAAGCAAAGGCCGAGAGGAGAGGCGCCGCGGACGCGGCGGCGGTCAACATCTGCCGCTCGCACTGCCGGCCAGCAAAGCGGCCGAGGTACGCTTCGGCGTCCGACGCGGTCTGGACGAAAAAGATGTGGAGCGTAGACTGCGGCAAGTCCTCGGGCACCCCGTCGAGGGCGGTGGTGCTGCTCGAGATACCCAGCCCGTGCAAAAAGGCGCGGAGTGGCGCCAGCGGCGAGCAGCTCGACGCGGCAAATATCACCTGGACGCCTACGGCACGGACAGCCACGGGTGGGCACTGCGCGCCGGGGCGGTGTGGAGCGTGTGCCGTTGCGGGGCGCCATGCCGCTGGTCGACGCTCAGCTCCGCAGAGATGAGCAACGTCGGGAGGAGCGCTTGCGAGTGGTAGAGCCGGGCGTCGGCGTCGCGGAGGCTCGCGGCAAGGCTCGCGCTCAGCGGGAGCAGGAAGGACCAGCCAATCAGCGGCAGCCAACCGAGGCGCGCAACGTCAATAACCGCCACAGCGGCCGCGAGGGTGACGTACCCCGCGGCTAGCAGCATCTTTGTGGGCACGTTGAAGACGGGACGGCACGTCGATCCGTCTGCGGAGAGGACGTGCAGCCCGGAGGAGATTGCCCGCTTGGGCACGTACAGCGCCCCCCGCAACGAGACCCTCTTCTCGGCGCGGCCGTAAAGATCGCGGGTAAAATAGGAGGCGAGGTTCGAGTGGAGCTGAAGCTGCTCGTGCACGCGCTGCCTGCGCCACCACTCGGCGTGGTAGTCCTCGCGCGACATGAGGGCGGCGTCGAGGCTGCGCAGGAGCGTCGCGAGCGACGTGGTGACCACGCGGAAGCCCTGCGCCGCCAGCCACTCCTGAAGCCGCGCCGCAAAGTCCGCGCCGCTCTCGGGCGCCTGCGCGCAACCTGACCAGTCGGCCGACGCATCGAGCCAAACGAGCGTGTGCTGCGGCGGCCGGCGCAGCGCGGCCAGCAGCTCGACGCAGCGGCGCGGGCAGGAGAGGTACTGCGGCGTGAGCAGCAGAACGAGGAAGGCGGCGTCGCGCGCAGCGGCGTGCGCCGCGTGGAGGACGGAGCATCCATTCTCGAGGCGCTGCACGTCGAGCCACACGTTGACGCCGCCGCTGTTGAGCGTGTACGCGATCGCGGAGGCACGGTCTGCCGCCTCGCGCCCACCGTACGAGACAAAGACGTGGTACGCCTCGGGCTGGCGCAGCGCGGCGAGCGCGAGGAGGCGCCCGAAGCGGGTGGGTGGGCGAATAAAGGCAAAGGCGCCGAGGAGGAGGCAGCCCAGCATCGTCGTCAGGTAGCAGGGGAGGGTGAGGATGTAGAGGGAGAGGGGGAGGTCGTCCAGCACCGCCTCGGCCAGAATGAGTACGAGAAGAAAGACCCAAAACGCGCCGGCGAGCCGCGTCGAGCATCCGAGCGTGGTGTAAGCAGGCCAGGGCAGACCAAGGCAGACGACCTTGCCGCGGCCCACCTTGGCGGTCGTGTTCGCGACTGCAATCGCTTCTCCGCCGCCCACCACGCCGCCCATGCCGCCCGCCTCGTGCGCCTTGTGCCAGTGGACCTGGACCGGCACCGGGGACGGCAGCGCACCGCGGCTCGCCTCGAGGAGCTCCGCCTCGGCCTGCTGCAGGCCGCGGAAGAGGGCGGCGGCGCCCGGGTCGGCCGGCGGATGGTGCTTCTCCAGCGGCACGGCGGGCGCGTCGGCCTCGCTCACCCCCTCCGCTCCGTCGCAACCCGAGCGCCCCAAGCGGACGATCTTGCCCGAAACGGCCTCAAAGAAGCGTCGAGCGAAGCTCTTGTCCAGCTCGATGGCAGAGTAAGAGGTGACGAGCGGGCGCGCCTCGCCGCCCGCGACGAGCATCTGCCGCTCAACGTGCCGCCCGGCAAACTTTGCGACGTACATTTCGGCCTCCGTTCGGCTCTCGAGGAGGAAGATGTGCAGCGTGCGCGGCTCAAGCTCGGCGAGAGCGTCAATTGGCGCGACATCGCTCGAGATGCCGAGCGTCTCGAGGAATCGGCGCAGCGGCTCGGCCGTGGCGCGCGAGGTGATGAAGCAGAGGCGGGTCCGGCTCAGCTCCATTTCGGAGGAAGCGAGCAAAAGCGGCAGCAAAGCCGGAGAGTGCGCGAGGCGCGCGTCGGCTGTCGTGCACGCGAGCAAGCTCAGCCGCCAGCCGAGCACGCACGTGGCTAGGAGAATACCAAACGAGAGCACGTCGACAGTCTCATCCTGCCAGGTGTACTCCACGGACCTGAGGAATACGGCCGCGATCCCGACTGCGCCCGCGAGGCCGAGGAGGAACTGGAACGGCACCGCAAAAAGGCGGTCGCAGCGGGAGCCGTCCGCCGAGAGGGCGTCGAGGCCCGAGGAGACGGCGCCGGCGGGGACCAGCAGCCGTCCCCAGAGCGAGACCCGTCCGCCGAGGAGGCGGCCGCGCCCGACAGAGGGGAGGGCGACGACGTCCTTGCCGAGCGGCGCGCGCGTGTGCATTGATGGAGAGAGTCGCTGCCTGCGCCACCACTCGGCGTGGTAGTCCTCGCGCGACATGAGGGCGGCGTCGAGGCTGCGCAGGAGCGTCGCGAGCGACGTGGTGACCACGCGGAAGCCCTGCGCCGCCAGCCACTCCTGAAGCCGCGCCGCAAAGTCCGCGCCGCTCTCGGGCGCCTGCGCGCAGCCCGACCAGTCGGCCGACGCATCAAGCCAAACGAGCGTGTGCTGCGGCGGCCGGCGCAGCGCGGCCAGCAGCTCGACGCAGCGGCGCGGGCAGGAGAGGTACTGCGGCGTGAGCAGCAGGACGAGGAAGGCGGCGTCGCGCGCAGCGGCGTGCGCCGCGTGCGCCGCGGTGAAGCCGTTTTCGAGCCGGTAGGTGTCGAGCCACACAAAGAGAGAGCTGGCGCTCAGCACCGACGCGAGGGAACGCGCGCAAGCGGTGGCCTCTGAGCCGTACGACACCATCACGTGGAAGCCCTGCACTGGCGCCACCGTGCTCAGTGCGCCAAGCCGCCCAACTCGCATCGGTGTCCCGTCTTGCAGCATGCCGAGCTGCAGGCTCCCGAGGCAGAGCGTCAGGAAGCCGACGCACGCGTTGAGCGGCAGCGGATGGTACCAGCGGCTCCACAGAATGGGCGGGGTGATTGGGTGGCTGTTGCGGGCGGCCGAGACGTAGGCGATAATGAGCGGGTAGCCGATGCTCGCGCCAATGAGCACGCACAGCAGCACCTGCGCGCGGACATTCTCAAGCACCGCACGAGGCATGCCGAGCGAGTAGACCACCCGCCGTCGCAGCCGGCAGGGCACCTGGCCGAGGTCGATCAGCGTGCCGCAACCGAAAAAGCGCCAGATGTGCCAGGTGCGGCGGCGGTCGCGCCGCCAGCCACAGGGCTCGGGGACCTCACCGTGGCCGAATTGCGCGACGGTAGCCTCGGCCGCTGCGAGTGCCTCTGCAAGCGCCAAGGGCATGTGCCAGCTGCCGCCTGCGGTGTCAGCAACGCTGTCCAGCTCGAGCACCGTCGCGTCGCCAGTGCGTCGCGGCATTGTGCCAAGCTTTAAGCTATGCACACACGCGCGGACTGCACTCGACTGCAAACCGCGCGGCCGTCGTCGCCCCCCTCAAACACGCGAACCACCGCGCGCTGTTTATACAAAAGAACTCGGTGGCCAGCGCTTGGATTGGCTCTCGAGGCTCTCGAGGTGGATATCCTTTGGCCGCGTTGGGTAGCGAGGATTGGTGTAACCCGAGCCACGGAGGCGTGTTTTCTGGCGGCCGACCGTCAGTGCACGGAGTTGCCCCTTCTCCGACTGCCCCGGCTAGTTCACGGGTTTCGCGGGAGTGACCCCATGCGTCAAACCCGAGACCTAGCGCGGGTGGGTTGGAGGGGGCTCGCCCCGTTCCTCCCCATCGGGCCGCGTGAGCGGCCACGCCTCGCAGATTCGTTTTCGCGCCTGGGTCAGGCGCGCGGGGCATCCCCCGGGTCGCTCGACCAGCGATCCGAAGAGTGGCCGCTATGCGAAGGAAAGAGTGGGGCCCTCGGGGTACGCCTCGTCCGGCCCCCTCCGAGGGGGGGAGGGAATTGCGGGGTCCCCACGGGCGCCTCAGTTCGGCCCTCCCGAGGGGGGGAGGGGAGCAAGGGGGTGGGGGGATCGGGGCGGGGGGGAGGGGTCTCGGGTTTCATGTGGCTAAAACTTGCCTTTGATTGGCACTCAACGCTGCAAGCCTGCAGGCATAGCACAGCTCACAATCAGCACCCTAAACAGTATGAACCCCGCGCGTGCTCGCGCCCCAACTGACAACTCATCATTCTAGGGTACGATACTTCCGGGCCGGTGTGCGGGGAGCGAACCTTAACGACCGCCCAGAAGCTTTCTGAGCGAACCAATCGGGCCAGGATCATCAGCATATGTCCCCTCCACAACATCGTGGGCGTTTGAGCGGTATTTGAGGAGCACCGCGACTCTGAAGTTCGGCCGGGTGGTCTGCAGACCCCCCCCCCCCGGAGCAGCAGAGGCTCCGTGGGGTCGAAAAGTCGACGCTGGGAGTCGCACTCGTCAAACCGTCGCAACACCACGCGGTACGCACATACCGCCCACATCCCCTCCACCGCTGAGAAGGCGCAGATCGACCGCCGGGCCGCGTAGCCGTCGTTAAGGAGCGGTTTTTGGAGCCGTACGAAGAGGTCCCAGACGGGCGAAGATGCGGTTTTTCGACGACCACACGCGATGTGGTATCTGGTTTTTGCTAAAAACGGGCCGCCTAGTGCAGCATCACTAGTACAACACGCAACCACACTGAAAGCTCCACACTAGCCGGTATAGGCGAGCGCCGACGGCGTCACGGTCGCCGGAGTGGACGCACTGCACACACACTGTGACCGTGTCGTGGGTGTGACAGTGCGCGACACAACCGTCGGCGCCGCGCTATCGCGGCGCCCCGCAGTCTACACGCCTCAGGCACACCCTTGAACGCGCCATGGGCGCGCAGATACACCGCAGCGCCGTGGAGAATCCACACCTGGCCGGTCCCGAGCCCCGTCCTGGGCCTCCAGGCGGCCGAAGATCGGCGTTCGGGCGTGATGAACTTGTCGGAAATGGAGCAAACTTGGCGCGGCTCGTCGCTCGCGGTACCGGGTGAGCCTGGATAGGGCAAAATCTGGGGTGAATACGAGGGACAGAGGTCGCAAGTTTGTCGCGCAAGTTTGCGCGGCGTGGCGCTGCCCCGCTGCCGAGGGCGCCACCAACCCGTGGCGGCGGCATTTCCAGCCCAAATTGGGCGTTCCGTGCGCCTTGCCGGCGAGAGTGGACGGGCTGTGCATCGTGGGGGGGGGTGAGTGGGAGGGAGGTGGTCGTGTGCCTACTTTGTCGGCCGCGCGCGAGGAAAATACTGGGTGTGAGGCGCGCAGGAGGCGAGGATGGGCGCGCCGGCGGTCGAGCCACCGAACAATTCGACGTGGCGCAGCTCCGCGCCGGCGGGGACGACCGAGCACATGATGTCGGCGGCGGTCACGCGACGAGGGAGAGCCGCAGGAGCCCTCTGTGGAGCAGGCGCGCGAAAGCAGCGATGAGTGGCGCTTCGTCAGCCACCTGTGGGCGGTCATCGGGGTGGCGCCACACCTCAGCGAGCTGGATCTGGGAAGGGCATGGGGTCACGCGGGCCCTGTCTGCAGCAGCAGTGCTAACTAAAACGACAAAATTCCGGATGGACCGGAGACTGTCTACTCTTTCGGCGCACCGTGCTCGGGCCCCTCGAAAAGCTGGCTGGTGGTCGCGCGCGGCGCGTCAGCGCGGCTGCGACTGGTCGGGCACCTCGGCTGGGTCCATCGGCAAGAGGCCCGCCCCGTCGGGCGGCCCCGGGAGCGCATGATGCCCCTCCGAGAGGCGCTGACGCCCCGCCGAGATCGCGCTGGTTTGGCACGAAAAACACGAGGCGCCAAGGGGGGGGGTCAAGTATGGTACCCTAGACAGGGCAGCACTGGCAAGTGCAACGCGCCTCATGTCGGAGAGCGACCGTGCCTCGTTCGCCGCTTATGATGTAGAGTTTGTTGTAGAGATTTCACGTTGTAGAGCGCCTCTACATCGCTCTACAACGGAGGCAGTTCGTCCCGCGGCGGATGTAGAGCTCTACAGCTCTACATTGCTCTACAGCGCTCCACGGCGCGCCCCGGCCTAATAGCTGGGCCTCATAGCGACATGCCGGCCACGGAGCTCGTCGCGCCCATGCCGCCATCGGCGCCCGCTGACCATCTGGCGTGCAGCGAGAAACCCTCTGCGAGCTGGCGCCAGCGTGGTGGTTTGGCGGCGTGCGGCGCAGCGCTGGTCTTCTTGGCGTCCATCCACGGTGATCGCGGATCCGGCGAGAAGCCTTGCGCTGCCATCGGTCAAGGCGCAGCTGGACGAGACGATGCGAGAGGAAGGCCGGCGGCTTTTCGAAGCGCAGCACGACCTGCGGCGCCCGGCGCGCTGATGCCGACCACTGCAGGGTTTGTTGTCGACGAGGATGACTCAGGATTCTGTTTTTCTTGTTTGACTTGGCGATTTGAGAGTCGCGCACAGCACACACTGGCCAGTGTGCTCCTCGCTCGCTCCCCGCTCGCCTCGGTGACCTGTCGCCCACCAGCGCGCGGCGACCGCGCGCACACCACCAGCGCGCGGCGACCGCGGCACACCGCGCCCGCCGGCTCTCCGCCCTCCTCACCACCCGTCGGCGCTGTCCGCAGGTCGTACGTAAAACGCGGACCGCCTCCCCCACCGTGCGATTGCCTTCAGTGGCCGCCAGACGTCCGAACCGCTCGCTTCTGGTGTGCAGCAGGGATTGCCGGCGAATGCCGCAAGTGGCTTTGGTGCTCGCGAGCACCCTCGCATACCCTTTCTTCGGCCTAGGCACGGCTGTGGCCGGTAGTGCACGAAAAACGAGAAAACAGGAATTTTCGATTTCGCCGACTTTGCCCATTAACGGCGGGTTCGCGCCGCGCGCGAAACGACCGAACGGGCCGCAGGGCGCGCCGAATGCCCGCTCCAACTGCCGCTGCTCAGACGGAAATTGCGGCACGGCATGACGGGTGACGCCGATGCCCTCCTCCGCGAGTACCGCCGGGCAAACCCTGGGCGTGCAGGCACGGCAGGCGGCCGCAGGCTGCATGACAGCAGCCCGTGCTCTGAGCGAGCAGCATGGGACTTCGAGGATTTGGAGTGGGCGGAGCAGCACATGGCGCACACCAGCCTGCTGGCGGAGCGGCCTGTGATTAGGGCGGCCAAAACTGCCTCGATCTCTGAGCTCACCAAGCTCGAGGGTTGCTTTCGGGCGGTCCAGGCCAGCCTCTCTCGAGAGCGAGCAGCAATCACAACGCTGCAGACGGCGCTACAAAATGCTGGCATCGAGAGCAGTAGTGGCGCGCAGCTCATAAAACGTGGCGACACTCCAGCCACTGTCTCTGTTTGCCCTGAAGCCGGCCCAACGACAGCCTCCGCGCTGCAGGACGCCATGCTGCGCCGCATTGCTTTACTGCGCGCCCAGTTACTGCAATCTCAGGAGGAGCTCGAAGCGACAACCCTTTCGCGTGCAGCGCTCGAAGAGCTGGCGAGCGGCGCAGGCGTTGTGGTCGAAAGCGAGACTGCTGACTCTGCATCAGCGATCCGGCCTGAGGCGATGCTCGCGCAGTTGGCACGGCTGAATGGAGCGTTGCGAGAGGCCACGCGTGGTAGGAAAGATGGGGAGAGGGGAAAAGGCCACCGTAATGTAGTGCGCTCTTTCTCCAAGCCACCCGACGTTCCAATCAGCGTCTTTGCCGACGGCTTCATGCTGTTCCGAGGCCCGTTTCGAAAGTTCGAGAGCGACGAGGCGAGGATGTTTGCCGCGCAGGTGATGTCGGGCATGATGCCCCACGAGCTAAACCAGCGGTTCCCGGATGGCTGTCTCTTTGAAATCCATGACGTTTGCCATCAGACTCACGCTCAGGCGCATGCGTTGGCTGTCGAGCGCCAACGGCCTTGCGGAGGTGGCTCCGCTAGAGTGGTTGGCGTCGATGACATGGCTGGTGCGGCGCCACTTCTCGCTCCTCAGCGGGCAGAGGACCTGCTCCGCCGCCTGCCCCAGACCGTGGTGCGAACGGGAGGCACCGTCGTCCCAGTGCGGTCAGAGCTCGCGCAAGTCCTCGGTGTGCCCCTGGCGCCGACGCCAGTCCCTCAAGACGGCTCGTCGCCGAGCGATGCTCCGGAACCGGATGACATGCGTGCCGCCCGACTGCGGCGGTTTGCGGGTGCGGGTGTGTCGTCTGTCTGACGATTCGACAGTTTGCCAGCGGCTTTTGTATTTCACCGTACTGTCGTACACACAAATACGTCTTACCTCCCCGCCGGCTCCCCGTACAGCGCGTACCGCAGAAGCGCCCCGCCGACCAGGGCACCGTACAGCAAATAGAGTCCCGCCCGCCGCGACCCGCCCACCGCCCCGCACAACCTCCTCCGCCGCTCCGCGCCGACGCCGCCGACGCCGACCACGACGCCACCGCCCACCTCTGGCGGCATCGGCTGCTCTGCCGTCGTCCACGGGTCTAGGCAGAGCTCCGCAATGCTGGCGCGGTCGCTGGGCGCGAGCTGCAGCATGGCGTCGATGAGCTGGCGCGCCTCGAGGGAGAGGTGGTCTGGGAGGGAGTAGTTGCGGCTCAGCACGGCCGCCACCAGCCCCTCTCGCGACCCACCCGGAAAGGGCTGACAGCCAGCGAGCAGCTCGTACAGCGTCACGCCTGGGAAGAGTCTAGGAAGAGTCTAGGAAGTGTCTAGGAAGTGTCTAGGAAGTGTCTAGGAAGTGTCTAGGAAGTGTCTAGGAAGTGTCTAGGAAGTGTCTAGGAAGTGTCTAGGAAGTGTGTCGTACAGCGTCACGCCTGAGCAAGAAGGCTGGCGTCGAGGAGTCAAGAAGAGGGCGCCGCGCGGGGGGAGAGGGGGAGGGGGGAGGAGGGGGGGGGGGGAGGAGGAGGCGTGCAGCGGCGCGCCGAGCGACCACACGTCCGACGGCGGGCCGAGCTTCGCGCGGCCCCAGGCGTGCTCCGAGTTGTACCCGGTCAGCTGCTCGGGCGACGAGTACGCCGGAGTCCCGTGCAGCACCGACGCGGGCGGCGCCTCCACCTCCCGCGCCATCCCCCAGTCCACCAGCACAGCCCTGCTCCCGTCGGCGCCGGCGCCCTCCTGCAACCGCACGTTGGCCGGCTTGACGTCGCAGTGCAGCAGGCCGCGGCCGTGCGCGTGCCGGAGCGCGCCGAGCAAGTCGCGGAAGAAGATGCGCGCCGCCGGCTCTCCGAGGCGCCCCCCTGGTCACAGCTGGGGGTGTGAAGAGGCGCCGTGCACCGTGCGACAGAACCCTCGCAAAACTAGTACGAGAGAGCCGAGAGTGCCTGGGCGACGCCCTGGGGAAGTGTCTGGGAAGTGTCTCTAGGAAGTGTCTAGGAAGTGTCTGGGAAGTGCCTCTAGGAAGTGTCTAGGAAGTGTCTAGGAAGTGTCTAGGAAGTGTCTAGGAAGTGTCTAGGAAGTGTCTCTAGGAAGTGTCTAGGAAGTGTCTAGGAAGTGTCTAGGAAGTGTCTAGGAAGTGCCTGGCTGCGCGGTCAAGTGCTCGAGCAAGCAAGGCCCCTCGATCCGCTCCATCACGATGAAGACAGCCTAGACACACTTCCTAGACACTTCCTAGACACCTCCTAGACACTTCGATCCGCCGCATCACGAGGAAAGCAGCCTGGTTGGCGAGCTCAACCGCATCCACCAGCGAGACGACATTCGGATGCCCGACCAGCCTCTTGAGCACGTGCACCTCCCACAGCACCGCCTCCTCAGGGAAGTGTCTAGGAAGTGCCTAGGAAGTGTCTAGGAAGCACCTCCCACAGCACCGCCTCCTGCCTTCCCCTCTCCTCCTCGCCGCCGTCCTCGCCGCCGCCACGGCACATCTTCACCGCCAGCCGAGAGGTGCCCGCCGCACCCGCGCCGCGCCCCTCGGCCGCCTGCAGCGTCGGCCCCGGCTCCGCCTCCACCACCACCCCGAAAGAGCCCTCGCCGAGCTTGCCGCCCAGCTGCAGCATCGGCGCCGTCTTCTTCTCGAGCTCCCCGCGCGCCGGCGGCGTCGGCATGTTCGCTGTCGGCCTCCACTCGCCGCTGTAGAGCAGCTCGCGAGCCGCCGCCTGCAGGGGGAGATTGCATCTCGGAGATTGCATCTCGGAGGTTGCATCTCGGAGGTTGAATCTCGGAGATTGCATCTCGCTGAAGCAGCTCGCGAGCCGCCGCCTGCAGGTGCGCCCACTTGCTGCAACTGCTCCCACTTGTGCCGGGCGCGGCGCCGACGCCGGGCCGAAACACCTCCGCCAGCGTGCGCGACTCGAACCAGTGCGCGTCGAGGGCGCCGCAGTCGACGACGCCGAGCTCGCCTACCACACCAACCAAGGAGCTGAACCCACACTGGATTCGACACTCTGGATGTATGGCACGTACGTGCTGAAGACGCCAACATCAGGGCGGGAGGAGGTCTCGTGAAGAGTACCACAGAGCGGTGTGTGCAATACGAGGGGTGCTGTGACGACTTTAGCGGGTAGCGGCGAAGAGATGGTGATGCAGACGGCGTGGGCGGTGGGGCGCGATTCGACGGCCCGAGGGGCATCGCAATCAGCCCGGACGGCAGCGCGCTGCTTGTGGCCGACATGTTGTTTAACCAGCGCTGTGACTCCTCTGTGCGGCTACTCTGTGTGCAGGCGACTGGCGCGGTGACTACGCTCGCAGGCAGCGGCGCTGGGGGCAGCTCTGATGGCGTGGGCGAGGCGGCGCAGTTCAATCGCCCATTCGGCGTCGCCCTCAGCCCGGACGGCAGCGCGCTGTTTGTGTGGGCGACTGGGGCAACCACAAGATCCGGCGCGTGGAGGTACGAGGGATGCGGATACGGCCGAGCTCGCCGCGATCGGCGAGCGCGGCGGCGGCGTCGGAGAGGGAGGCGGAGAGCGAGGAGCGGAACAGCGTGGCGAGCCAGTCGAAGATGACTGGCGAGGAGGCGTACACCTCGCCCGCAACGACGCCGTCGAAGGCGCCGAGCCGAGTGCCGCAGCGAATCGCCCTCCCACGGTCGCCGTCGGCAAACGCCACGCGCGTCCAGTACTTGTTGTGTCTCGCCCGCGCCATCGAGGCGTACTGCATCGTCGCGGGTGTGCTGTCGACGAGCGCAAACGCCTTGAGGCCGCGCGAGGTGCTAAACGGCGCCGTCGCGATCTGCCTGAGCAGCCGCGGGTCATACAAGTTGTCTGCCCGCACAATCAGCAGCGGCGCCGGCCCTTCGAACGCGGTGCGCGCGGCGAGGACAGAGTTGGCGAGGTTGCGCCAGACACCGCCGACGGTGCCGATGGTGAGATAGACAAAGTCGATCCGCAGCCGCGTGAACCGGTACGCCGTGACGCACTCGGCGATCTGTGCCGCGTCGTGCCCGAGCGTGACCACCGCCCGCTCGACGCCGGCGTGCTCCAAGCCAGCCAAGAGGTGGATCACGAGCGGCCGCATGTCGACGCTGAGCACGCGCTCGCGATCGCGAGTGGTCAGGACCGACGCCGCGTGCACGAGGGCGCGCTTGACGGTTGGCGCAGCCATCCCAGCCTCCATTATGCTCTCGCTGGCGAGTAGCGAGTAGAGGCACAAGCAGGCACTCTCGAGGTCTCTTGGAGCAGAGCCCCGGCGAGCCCTCGGAGGGGTACCCTGGGTGGGCGAGGCTGCTCGCCGCTAGCTCGGACAGCTCGACGAAGTGCGACAAGCCTCTGGGAAAGAAAAAGAAAAGCTGCCGCGCCGACAGGAGCAGAAGAGCCCACCTGTGCCCCTGATCGTCCTTCCAAAATCCTGCTCGTGCAGGTGTGGACCTCCTGGAGGAGGTGGAGCCGGCGGCCATCGTCCGGGGCGAAACAAAGAAAAAACCTGATATGGTGCTTGGTGGCGGCGTGCCGGACAGAGGATGCTCTGACGGCTAGCACCAGGTGTGTGGAGCCCGTACGCACTTCCAGTGGAGCCCGTACGCACTTCCATATATCACAACTGGAGCCCGTACGCACGAAGTACGCTGGAGCGAAAGAAAAAGAAACAGGTAGGGCCCTTGTAAAAGAAAAAAGAAAAAACCCTTGGGGTTCCGGCGGCGGTGTGGCGCGGTTGGAGTGAAGTACAAATTCTTTCTTTATATCCGCCGCATGGCCGAGCAGCCCACTGCCACGCTCCGGCGGGAGCTCGCCGAGCTGGGCGAGGCCTCTGCTCGCCACTAGCTCGGACACTAGCTCGGATACCTCATGTCCCGTAGTCTTTGTTTGTAGGTATGTTAGTATCGAGGTCTCGCGAGTTTTGGGGGTGAGAGAGAGAGAGAGAATTCTTGATACGAAACCACGACGACACACACCAGTCGACTCGCATCGGTTGCCTCCATGAACGGCGGAGCTATTCTCGCGTCCACACCACACCTGGCTCCAACGTGGACACGCCCATAGCTGGGGACACTACTAGGTCACGCATGGCATCAGAAGTTTTATCTCTGGGCCCCGAAAGGCATCTCTAGCAGCGTCGTTACGCATGCACCCTCCCCTCCTGGGCGCATACGCCTCACGTCTCGACAGAGCATATACGGTGGCGGCCCCGCCGGCGGCGGGGGTGGAGGCGGTGGCAGGGGCGGCGGGTACGGTGGCGGCCCTCGCGGCCAGAACGCCTGGTGTGGAGCCACTGGGGCGGCCCCACGACCCTGCCACTGTTCCAGCGGCGGGGGCGGAAGAGGAAAGTGGCAGTGTGGGTGGCGGACACGATGGCGGCACTGGCGGCCGCACCGCCTGGTGTGGAACCTCAGGGGCGGCCCCTCGACCCAGCGGTCGCTCCAGCTGCGGAGGCGGAGGCGGTGGTGGGGGGGGCTCACCCCATCCCCAGGGCCTCCAGGGCTCGCACCTCAACCTCTCACAGACCAGCGCACAGTGTGTGAGTGAGTGAGTGTGTGAGTGAGTGAGTGCACACACACACACACACACACACACACACCAGCGCACAGCGCCAGGACGTATTTTCTTGTCAATAGAGGTAGGTAGGTAGTAAGGTGAAGAACAGCCAGGCTCGGACTGGACACCAACGCGGTATGGGTGGACGCTAGACAGATGATGACGACACGCACGAGCGACACACAGACACAAACAAGCTCACAAGACACACAGCCAGCTGGCTGCCACACACCCTGAGTCGGCGTACACATAACTCAGGGCCACATCCTCCCTGAATAGAGAGGCTTGTATCTTAAGAATTCTTGTCAATAACAAGCTGTGAACTATCCGCCGTAGCCCCGTATGGCCGAGCAGCCCTCTGCCACGCTCCGTCGGGAGCTCGCCGAGCTGGACGATCGCCGCAAGGCGATGGAGGCGGAGATGGAAGGCATCAGCGAGGCGCTGCGCGCCAGCAACATGGGCGGCGTCGCCGGCGCTCTCGTCGACCGCGACGGCTTTCCACGTGCAGATGTCGACGTGCACGCGACGCGGACGCTGAGGCACCGGCTCGCCTGCCTCAACACGGACCACAAGGCGCTCATGCAGCAGCTCGAGGCCAAGCTCCACGCGATGCACGCCGCGCTCGCGGCCGGCGCGCCGCCGCCGCCGCCGCCCGCGGCTCGCCCGCCGCCGCGCACCGCCAGTGTCCAGTCGGCGGCTGCCAATGGCGTCGCCAACGGCGTCGCCAACGGCGTCGCCAACGGCGTCGCCAACGGCGTCGCCAACGGCGTCGCCAACGGCTGCAACGGAGCCGCCAATGATGGCGTCGCCAACGGCGCCGCGAGCGCGCCACCGCCCTTTGCGCGCGTCGGCTCTGTGGCCCCTGGCGGGCCGGCGGCCGCTGCGGGCCTACAGCCAGAGGACCGGCTACTGCGGTTCGGGCACGTGGACGCGTCGAACCACGACGGGCTGCGCGCGCTGGCGCTGCTGACCCGCCGCAGCGAGGGCGGCACCATCCCTCTCCTCGTCCTTCGCGGGGCGTCGCCGCTCGAGCTCACCCTTTCGCCGCGCCACTGGGAGGGGCAGGGGCTGCTCGGCTGCCTGCTGCACCCGGTGTGACCTGGGGGGAGCGTGTTCGTGTCCAAGTTCGTGTTCGTGTCGGGGTTGCTCTTTCCGTTGGTGTAACATGCACGCAACCGTCTCTCGTCGTCGTGGCAACTCTCTAGACGGGGTGCCCTTAGGGGACCCCTAGGGTTCTGAGGGCCGGATTTTTTTAAGACCTTTTAAGAAACGAGGAGGTTTAGGGGCTGAAATTGCCATTTAAGAGATTGCAGGCACGGGGGGTCCCTCTTTTAAGTCCGTTTAAGAAAATCGGCCTCACCGGCCACGCGTCGCTGGGTTCCGCGCCGGTTTCTCCAATACTGCTGTTATTAGGCACAAACCCGCCTCTGAAGACACATCTGTAAGTCTGGTGCACTGGCAGGAGCCATACTCACATAGGGGACGCGTGCTAGCTGACTGTAGCCAGCTTCCCGGCCTCCGGCGTCTACCGGGAGCCTCCCGGACCATCGACCTCGGGGAGCTCTCCCGCACCGTTTAAGCGTTTAAGACCGTTTAAGGAATTGGCGGCCCAGCAGCTCTTAAAACTTGCCATGGCAAGTTTTAAGCCGTTTAAGCCGCAGCGCCCCAGGGCCCACCCTTTTAAGCCTAGGGGTCCCCTAAGGGGGTGCCAGCTCCGCCACGTGCGCCGCCCGCGACCCGGCGCAGCGCCGGGTCGCGGGTGCGCGGTGCCGTCTCGTCCGTCTCGGGGTCTGCCGTGTCCGGCCGCGGTGCCGGTGCGCGGTGGTGACCGGTGTGAGTTTGGCTTCAGGCTTGCCCGAACCGTTGCCCGCAAGACATCATCAGAAATCACACGGGGCACACCCAGACCACTGGTTGACGTAGACGCACGCGCCACGGCTCGCTCCGTCTCTCGCTCTGGGTTTGACTTTGAGGCCACCCCGGCGCGGTCCCTCGCCTTGCTACGAGATGGGGCGGCGCTGCACTCCCCCATATCCCAGGCCTCCCCACCGAAAAGGGTCGGCTGACCTTCTTCCGCGCTGAGGCTCGCCGAAGTCAGTCACAAAATCCGCGTCGCACGCCCGTACGTAGTGTGCCCAGCCCACTTGCCCAGTCCACACCCCACACGCCGAACAGGGGGGGGGGGGGGGGGCTCCATCCGCCCAACCCCGCCCTGGTCAGTGGCCGTTGACGCCGCACTCCTCGGAACCGGAGTCCTCCTAAACGGGGAAATGGGGGGAAATTAGGGGAAATGGGCCCCAAATCGGGGGGAAACCTGCGGGGGGGGGGGGGGAAAGGGAAAAAAAAAGGGGAAAAAAAGGGGGAAAAAAAAAGGGGGAAAAAAAGGGGGGGGGGGGAGAGGGGGGGGGAGAGAGGGGGAGAGTCGAGTCTCGTCCTCGTCACACGACAGGAAGAGGCCCAGCTTCTTGGCGAGCAGCGCCTGTCTTCACAGCCGCGCGCTGTGAAGAGGTGCGGCCCCGAGGCAGGCGCACCCGCGGCGCCTCCCCGCGGCGCCTCGCCTTCTCTCCTCTCCCCTCCCCTCCTGGCGGCTCCCCTCCCCTCCCCCCCCCCCCCCTCCGCTCGCTTCGCCTCTCTCCTCTCTCCTCTCTCCTCCCCCTGCTCCCCAGCGCAAGCGGCGGCCGCGTCTCCGAGTCTAGGACGCCGCGCCGCAATCGCGGCGCACAGTGCGAGCGCAGCCGCCCCGAGCCAGTCAGTCGGCGGCGGCGGCGGAGGCGGAGGAGGAGGAGGAGCGGCACGAGGAGCAGGGGGCGGCGGGGCAGCAGGAGCAGCGGGCGGGGGCGAGGCGGCGACTCCAGAGCCGCCGCTCTCTGCCGACGGCAAAGCACCGCCGCCGCCCTCCATTCCCGCCTCCGCCGCCTCGGCACCCGCCGCCGCCCTACCCTCCCCCGCGCCCTCCGCGCCCTCCGCCCCACCGCCCGCCGCCGGCCCCGCCGCCCCCGCCCGCTGGCGGTATGGCGCGCGCTGCGCCCGAATCTGTTCCGGCCCCGCCGCAGCCTCGGCCGGCAGCGGCGTTGCTCCGGGCACCGCCGCCCCCTCCGCCGCCCCCTCCGCCGCCCCCTCCGCCGCCCCCTCCGCCGCCCCCTCCGCCGCCCCCTCCGCAGCCCCCTCCGCCCCTCCCTCCGCCGCCCCCTCCGAGGCCGCCCCTCCCTCCGCCCCTCCCCCCGCCCCTCCCCCCGCCCCTCCCCCCGCCCCTCCCTCCGCCCCCTCCGCCCCTCCCTCCGCCCCTCCCCCCCTCCCTCCCTCCGCCCCTCCCCCGCCCCTTCCCGCCGTGTCCTCCTCCTCCGCCCTGCGCCGCCGCTCCGCGAAGAGACGCTCCAGAGGGCGATCAGCGCCGGCCTGGGTGGAGGAGGGGCAGAGGCGGCGGTAGGGGCAGAGGCGTCGGCGAGGCAAGAGGTGGCGGCATGGACAGACGCGTCAGCGGGCAGGAGGCGGCGGGAGCCCAGAGCAGCAGCGAGAAAAGGCAGCCGTGGGGAGAGATGGGAGAGGTGGGAGAGGTGGGAGAGGTGGGAGAGGTGGGAGATGTGGGGAGATGTGGGGAGAGAGGGGGGAGCCACACCGGTGAGAGATGTCGAGAGATAGGTCGAGAGATGGGGAGATATGGGGAGATATGGGGGAGCCACACCGGTGAGAGATGT